GGAGGTCCTGCACCAGTTGGACAGGCTCGCCGGCCGGATCTGAGCCTTGCTGGGCTTCAATCAGGTGTGTTCAAGTCTCGACGCATTTAAGGGTTTCAGACGTTTCTAGGGTTGGGAAAGGAGCATCAGGCACTAGTTCGACGAATTCATCCTGAAGCTGTGAGTCGACGAACCACACAAAACCTCGCCAATGCGGAGGGTCCCTGTCCTCCTGGCAGCTCTTAGGCTTCATGATTGTCTTCTTGTCGGTGTAGTCAGCCTTCTCTTAACAGAAGACTTCTCAGTACTCTGGCTTGCACCCAATTTTGACCTGCTCGACTGCTCCCCTCGCAAAGCATCCGTAAAACCCCTCGGCATGCCTGACTGGGTTACACGTGCACTGTGCTATTGTGCGGTGTATCTTGCTCATCGAAGAACACGAGCCAAACAGGCGGATGTGGGCGCGGGCCCTTGCGCACGGCGGTGTCGTCAGCGGCGAGCATGGCGCAGGTCACGGGCCCAAATCCTTTGATGCCGATCCCGGCTGACACAGCCTGTCCAAGGCAACAGGCTAGAGTTGCAATGCGGGACAGTTTGTGGAGTCCTGTTGTGCTCACGGAGCCATCCTTGAAGAGCAGAGTCCTCTTGATTGACAGCTCATCAGTATTCTGGCTCTCCCATAGCATGGGGATGCCTGCAGTAGGCTGGTGACATGATGTTGAAGGTTGTAGTTCAGACATTGACAACAACTGCTTGAGGCGGCTACAGTACGAGAAAGACTTGCACAGATGACTTTAAAGACGACATGCACGTGTGCAGCTCAGGCATGGGCAAAGTTTCAGCGCTCGCAGAGGAGTGGGGCACCGATGCGATTGGCGTGATGTGGAGGCTGAAGAAGCAGCTTGACTCGCACAGAGAAGTGAAACCGAGAGGAACCGCGCCAGCTGCAAACACGTGCTCTTATGAATGGGAGTCTAGAAATACCGATGCATTGCTGGCGCCGTCATTACAGCAGACGGCGCAGGGCTTCTTCGGCACAGCGTTCCTACTTTCAAAGCATTGTCAATCAGGGCTTTAGTGCACTCACGCGCAGACTGTGACACTGAGAGGAGGTTGTCGGGCGCAAAGTCCTGGGCCCTGTGCCCTTACAGTAAGCCTGAATGTGCAGTGCGCCATGCCTCCCTCTCTGCATCTTTCCTTAGATGCCTGGACGAGCACGAGATCCTAAACCCGGGCAAGCTGCTTCCAAGCCGGACAAGATGAACCGAACCCTGACTCTCATGAGTGGTTCCAGATGGAAGGCTTCGATAGGCTCAGTCTATAGGGGCCTAAGCACTTGGGCGCAGGGTTCGGGATTTGAGGTTCACTACTTGGGATTTGCGAGATCTGTTCTGCTACAGGCTGGGGTGTTTACGTTCGAGCAAAATCAGCTGCTCCCCGGGTGCAACTTCCAGTAAATCTCCCGGTTCACGAGATTCGCTGACAAGCACCGAGTTTGGGTCTGGGGAGCCGGGCGGGGAATGAGTTTCAGTTCAGCGACGAAAGTTCGGTAACCTGCGCGAAGAGTTCTAAATGCCTGCATCAACTAGACCAGCTATCCAGGCATAGACAGCACCTGTGATCACCCGAGGACCGTGAGCCTCCGATTCCCAACCCGTCTTGACATGATCGCAAGCTCCAGGAACCGAAGAAGCTCGACTTCTACGATACGGCCGTTCCATTTTCCATCAGTTGATAGCTGCATGCAAGCATCCTTCAATGGAGCATGGAGGATGTCCTTGGGCGTTGGGTTTGGTAGATGGCTCAAAGACAGAGTTCGTAGCTTGATTGCCGACATATTTATTTCTGAAGATCCGCGCCATGAGGATTCAAACTCACAAGAGTCCTCGGCATATGACAATCTCAATGCAAGACCCCTCTGTACCCCCGCTCTAAAGCAGATTAGTTTCCTCAGAGTGGTATGGTCAAAGGGTCGGAAACCTTCACTGCCGAAGGATATCTTTGAGAAGCGACTGCGGGCTCAGGAAACGCACAGGGTCTCAGGTTCAGGATGCAGCAGAGGTTCAGGACTGGGTACATAGTGCCGGCTGAGGGCAGGGTCCAGGCTTCTGCAGTGCGATGTGCTTCCATGCTCAGGGTCACGTGTGGCCAATGGACCTTTCGGAACGCAGGGCCAGGTTTGTACAGAGGGCAGTGGTGCAAAGCTTCCATTGCAAACCTGTGAGCTTCTTTCAGCATGACGCGGGGTCTCGGAATCTGAGGTTCACGTCGCTCAGAAGGAACATGGCAGTGGTCAGTCTGGTTTCAGATGAGGGTGAGGGGTTCTGATGCTGATCATGACGACGCTGGTGGCTGCGTAGGCCCGTCAGATGAAGACCACGTGGTGCTGGAACGGCTCTTCTGCGTCTTTACAACTCCGCTGTGCAGTGGCCATGAGATCCTGGGCCATCCAGGAGTTTCCGAAGATTTTGGGGAGCGCGAACGGCAAACAGCCATCGCTCAGACCAGGTGTCTTCCAATTCCTAGCAATGAGAGCAAATATTTTTCGGAGAAGCCCTGATCTCGGAAACTCCGGTATACAGGCCTCAAGCTTGTACCCGAAACCTGAAGCCCTGTTCGAGATGCCTATCTTACATTCCGAGATGGATGAGACCGGCAAGGCAAAGCGAAGTGCGATGTGGAGCCCATTGGGACTCAACTTTCGGTCCAGGGGCGGTAGTGGTGGTGGTGCTGGTGGTTGTGGCGATGGAGGTGGTGGTGGTGGTGGCAGTGGTGGTGGTGGTGATGGTCGGGGTGGTCATGGTAGTCGTCGGCGTAGACGTACCGAGCTCTATTAACTCTGGTTCCTTCTTTTGCCTCAGCTTTCGTGGCCTCTTCTCAAGCATCGAGGCCTAACTTTGGGATCGCTATCTCGCGGATTAGTCGGGATCTTGGGTTTGAGATATGAGTTTGGGTTGGAACTTGGATCGTTGAGACCTCATTTATGTAGGTCTGTGGGTTTCGGTTCTTGGGTTTGGGAATTTATTGTATATGTGATGTTCAGGACTAGGACATTATTCGGTTTAGAAATTCGATCGTAGAGACCTCTCAATGTTTTCGGGTTCAGGATCTTGGGTTTGAGACCAGTACGAAATTTTCAGGCTTAGGACTTTGGGGTTGTTTTCGGGTTTTAGGGTTCAGAGATTTGAGTTTTGGGCTTAGGGTTTAGGGCTTAGGGTTGTAGGGATTTAGGGTTTAAGGGTTTAGTGCCTACAGGGTTATGCGCTTCCGTCGCGCGCATCGGTTTAGTGCTTCCTGGTGGTCGTCTTGGTCGTCTTGCTCGGGCGGGGGCGGAGGAGCTAATCTTGCACCACTTGCACCACTTGCTGACCTTTCCCCTCCTTGAAAAGCTACCAAGATGACGCGTAGCCTTGGCCCCCCTCAGCATTTACCCCCCGACCAAGATTGCTCAGCATGACGGTTCTCCCTTCCTCGCCCCCCTTTAGCATTTACCCCCCGACCAAGATTACTCAGCATGACGGTTCTCAATTCCCGGCATTCTGCAGTAGGAGTAGTAGTAGTAGAAGAAGGAGAAGAAGTAGTAGTAGCAATAGTAGTATTAGTAGTAGTAGTAGTAGTAGTAGTAGTAGTAGTAGTAGTAGTAGTATAGAGTAGTAGTAGTAGTAGTAGTAGTAGTAGTAGTAGCAGGGTAG